TGACTGAGTAACCATGAAATTTTAGAGTGCCATCAAGCAGTCTTTAGACGGCAAGATTTCTTTCCCCCTCACCTTTTGTGTGTTGTGTGTAAGGAAGCCCAATCGCTCCTGTACCTTTTTGATAAGCTCCCTGTTGACCCTAGCAAAGTGGAGTACGACGCATGGAAGTTTCGGTAATTTGCGTGATTGGTGCTAGAGAGTCACTTTGACAGTCTCTTAAAAAATCAGAGAGTAAAAATGCACATTTGAAACGGCAACTTTTTCGGAGTCGAAGTGGGAGGTTATCAAGGAATGAAGTATCGCTCTCAAAGATTTGTTGGATATAATCTACATCATTTATATCACAGCTGGTGTAAGTGCGGTAGCTAAGGCTCAAAAATCTCAGCTCAGACATGAATGCCCTGGGTGGCTGTTATTATGTCAGCAGACACACACTCTCAGGCTCAGTGCCATTGCTCTTGTCTGCAACAGGCTTCTCATAATACTAGCCTGCGCTACAAAATGGTTGGTGAAGCAATCTGAGCACTCTGTGGCACAATGTAAAAGTTATTAAATGGGGCAAAAGCTTTAATATTGTGTTGCCCTCTCTCAGGGCAATTAATAAAATGCACATTTGTGTGTCGAGACCCCGAGACCACCCCCTCGTTGATGAATAAGACACAAGGACACGGATATTAGGTTAATGTTATTGGGCAATTAGGCCGCAACTTTATTGGTTACAGAATGTGAGCGGTATTGGCTTAGGCATTGGAATTGACCTGACTATATCTGACTCCTGCCCACCACGAAGGGAGTCCAGTAAGGGTCAACCACCAGTAGGGGGAGCACCGTCGATGCAAACCAACTCGAGTTCCCCCTGGGTTACCGACGGGGTCATAGCATGGCGCTAGCCCAGCCCTGGACTTCGGGCAAGATCCACACCTCCGGATTCCTTTAACGGAATACCCTTAAGCTTGGAGGGGCAGGTGATGACCACACCTCCCCTCCCCCATCATAAGATCAACCAATGCCTAACCGCCACTCGAGCCCAAGGCTCACCGCCAAATACCCTCACACCTGCAATCAATCCTTCACACCTTCCACAATATCGGCCAGCCAGACATTATTCCCCCAATCGGAAAGATGTACACCCTCATCTCAAAATAGGGCCATCTTGCTGTAAACAGTGGTGGGGTGCGCAATCACCAGACCATCCAGCATGAGCAACTTCTGTGCCACCACACGATTCAAGCGTTTCCGGGTATAATCAGTTGCAGCTGGGCAATCACTGCCACGCCAAAAGCGTCTCTCCAAGAGCAGAGACTAAATAAGTCATTTTGAGAACTTCCGTGCAAATTCGTCCAAGTCCCTTTTGATATTCAAAAGTAAGTCCATGCCTTTCCGACAAGGCAAGTCGTTTTCTCCCAGCTGCAAAACCAAAGCGTTGGGAGTGGGTGGCCATGTGGTCCACCGCAACTCCTCCTGTTGCATTCTGAGGCTAAAGGAAGAACTGGACCCTGATTAAAATAAGACACGAGGCTTTGAACCAATCAGATTTCCTTTGAGCATTCAAACAAACCTCAGGTGGGGACAAAGATAAACTATAAACACTAGTTAGGCATGCATACTTTGGAGTAAATGAATGAAAGCTACAAAGGAGCGAATACAGCAACCCCGGAGGTCATAAACAATCAGTACACATGATAAGAAGGATGGCCAGGAGGACAGTGACCATTATCACCTTAATGTGAAACCTGTTTCCTGGCCCTAAGATTAACATCCTAAGATTAATATATAAGAAAAACTACATCAACAAAACTGCCCATTATCTTTGAGGACCCAGGACGCCTGCCTGTCTAAGTGTGTACGTGACTTGTGAAGAGAGAGAAATGGGCAGTAGAGGAAAAAGGCATGAATGTAGAATCTTATGAGATTTAATCAGAAATTATCGTCAATATATCAGACCCAGTCAACACAATGCATTCATCGTGGACACGATGGCTTGATGTATATTTTATAATTCCTCATGGTAATCCCATCTGATCCCTACATCCTCCCCATTAAGAAGTGGAGCGGATTTGTCAACTGCGGTTGTTGGCATCCATAAGACAAAGTTGTGTGCCTCCAGAAGCGAAGTAAAAACCACTGGAGAATCACAGCGCCTGCTGTGGCTGCAGAGACGGGTAACTCGTAACTGCTGCCTCTCACACTGTTTTTGCACCCAAGTGACCTTTCTGGGGTGCAAGTCTGGGCAGTGCATATGGAGGTCCTGGGCTGCCCAGATAGCAAGACCACCCCCCCTCTTTTGGCCTCACTGATGTGGTCCAAATGAAAACACCATTTGGCACCAGTTTGGCTTCTAATGAAAGCCATAAAAATCTAAAAGATTGTGTCACCTCTTGCAAACTCACTGTGCTGTGCAGGAGAGGGCCTCTGGCAGAGAACATCTCACTAGGAGGCCCATTCTGCACAGTGCAGTAATCCAGGCGTCCTCAACCTTGGCCCTCCAGATGTTTTTGGCCTACAACTCCCATGATCCCTAGCTAGCAGGACCAGTGGTCAGGGATGATGGGAATTGTAGTCTCAAAACATCTGGAGGGCCAAGGTTGAGGAAGCCTGCAGTAATCGCTAGTAACTTTTTGGTACCTTCCTTTTTCAACCATCCTTTTACACAGAGATATTTAGCCCAGTCAATCTTTGCACTGGACTTGAAATTGTTCTTATCGGGGTGCCAACCTGAATAAAATATTGTGGGGGCCCAGGTGAGTCCCCCCCCCGCATAAGTGATCACATGATGCAGTGCACACACACCATTTGAATGGGAATGCCCATCACCTTTGTGGGGGCCCGGCCTCCTCAAATGTTTTTTTGTAGGGGCCAAAGCCCCAACGGCCCCTCAGAGTTTGCTCCTATGGTTCTATTGCTGATGTGTCGAGTGACATTTTAATGACCTTTTAATTGCCAATCACTTCAGGATGCCTCATGGGAAGTGATTCATATATTAAATAAATAAACAGTACCTTCTTCCCTCAGCAGAGCCCCTCTTATGATTTACCCACACTACCTCTTGTACTGCTTCTTTCCCCGAGAGAAACGGCACTTTAGTGCTCATTCGGAGCAAATGGCAATTCGAGTTGCCTCGTGATTGATGTTTGTTCCAGGTTAGAGCTAAAGAGTGGGATTTTTCCTGGGGAAAGAGTGGGGCATGGGGAAAACCATTCAGACCTGTGCTTTCTAGGCATGACACAAGTGGAAGTATTGATGAGCCCCTAGTGAAATCTGAAGGAAATAGATCCTAGTATTCCTTTTTTTTTTTAATATAAAATGAAAAATCTGGAAATAAATTTCCCTTCAGAATTGGAGAAGAAACGGAACATTCTGAAAATGGAGAGCAAGAAAGTGGTGTTATAGAAATAGGGGGAACCCCCTAACCCCTAGAAATTAATAAATGCTAGGATTTGGGGTTCATTGTGATATGAAAGGAGAATATAACCTGCAAGGGGATTCCTGGGCTGCCTTACGCAAACCAGTCTGGCTGGCTGAGGGAAGAGCAGAGCTCTATTTTCAATTGAGAGCCGTCAAGGGTCGTCAAAAAACTCCTTGTCCCAGGTGTGACCAGAGACTGGAGATTTGGGATGTTGCCAGGGTAACTGCTCTGGGGGGAGGGCAAGGGGCTTCTGGGAAGAAGAAAGATCTATAAGATCTGGACTCCTTCCATGCAGATGGAAGGTTTATAAATAGGTGAATAAACCCTATTTCTTAAAGCACGACAGCCTCCGCTGTGTCTTCTGTTCTCCTGAGGGGACAGGCGCCGGGGCTTTTGTAACAATATTTTCAGAATTACAGAAGAATCCACAGGCACTGTGTGAAATTCAATCTCTCGCAGTTAAGAGCTGGTATCCAGGCATGCGCAGCTGTGCAAAAGGTCTAGTGTGGATAAGTCAACAGCTTAGCCTCAAGGTGACTGCAAGGGGTAAACCATTCTTGTGGCATATTTGATCATGATGGCCCTTCAATAGCTACCCATTACTTTTCATTGAGGTGATTATGTACAAAATCTAGGCAAATTGCCAAATGCAATAGACACTGCTGTAGATGTTCAAGGTAGGAGTTGTTTCAATGGCTGGCAAGGATGAATGGTGCCCAAATAACTCACTCATCATCTATCACAGTTATGACTTCACTCATTGGCTATAAACACTGAAAGGTGGAAGCAGCTAAGCTGGTTTACCTCACAAAACTTACTTAGAAGGTTGCCTGCACATATTGCTTGAGAACTTTCATTTGAGGCTTACTTTTTAATGAGTTGCACCATGATAACTCAATCAATATAGGGCAGTTTGCTTTGTGCAGCCACGTCTAATCTTGCCCTTCCCTGAAATCTCTTTACAGTGGTACCTTGGTTCTCAAACTTAATCCGTTCTGGAAGTCTGTTCCAAAACCAAAGCGTTCCAAAACCAAGGCACGTTTTCCCATAGAAAGCAATGCAAAATGGATTAATGCTTTTAAAAGCAACCCCTGAAACAGCAATTTAACATGAATTTTACTATCTAACAAGACCATTGACCCATAAAATGAAAGCAATAAACAGTGTACTGCGGTCACACAATCAATCAATCAATCAGTAGCTGAACTGGGTTCCACACACACACAAAAGCCACAAGAACAAAACCGCAAAATAAATAGCAAAAACAGACAGACCTCAGCGTAACACTCAAAATGGAAGCATGGCACTCAAATCGGAAGCGTAACACTTTTTATGGACTTAATCTCAATATTTTGTTCTAACTCTGTTTTTTTGTCTTCCTTCAGATTTTTGACTAATAATTTAGTTTTATTCCTATTTAACTTAATTCCTGCCACTTCCCCAAATTTCTGAATCTTTTCTATTCCTTTGGGGAGTGAGGTTTTAGGTTCTTCCACTGTTATCACTAAGTCATCTGCATATGCTTTTGGAAGCGTAACACTTAAAAGGGAGCACGTTCGGCTTCTGAAAAAAGTTTGCAAACCAAAACACTTACTTCCAGGTTTGCAGTGTTTGGGTTCCAGGTTGTTTGAGTTCCAAGGCATTTGAGAACCAAGGTACCACTGTATTGGTATGTGTTTTGGTAAATCTACAAAAGAATACAATAAAATAAATTCAGGATTAAGGGGTTATCTCATTGGTGTGGTGGTGGTGGGACTTGCACTTCTCCTGATAGGAAATATTCCGGGGGGGGGGCAAAAAATGGGGGGTCAAGCAGGGTCAGTTGGGGGGTAGTGAGAAATAGCTCTATTTTCATCTGAGGAATGTTGGAGGGTGTGGAATTAAGTTGTTTCTAAAAGTAAATCCCAAATTGAATGCCACAGGACAGTTCCCAGGCCCTCTGGTGTGATATCCTTTTCTATCTAATTAAATTTCTAAGCATATCTTTCTCAGCAGTACAGCAACTGTGCATTCCACACAACCATCAGAGTTAGCAGGAAAGTTAAGTTTGCCAAAGTGGCATTGTGTGTCAGCACCAGAACTAAATCTAAATTGCTATTTTTAAATGTCTAAAAACATCCCCGCTGAAGCTCCCTTGTGAAATCACATATTTGCTGAAGTCTCATTTCCGTGGCCAGGGAAACCAATTGCGTATTCTGCTGTATTTTACAGAGAGCTTCATAAAGCCTGGAGATTAATTTAGGTTTTTCTGTAACGTTTTTGTAAATCCTTTCTTTGGGTTGGTTTGCCTTTGGCTCTTGCAAGGATTCCCACCCACCCCCACCCACCCTTCGACCGAGCTGCGAGAGTGAATGCAATGTCACCACCTGGTAATAGAAAACAATTTACATCTCTTGTGCTTGCAGTTGTAAACCTTTCATACATTCAGTTAACAACCAGAAGACATGGCCAGCACTGAGAAGCTGCTTGAGGGGCCACCATCTGAAGGAAGACTTGGGGAAGTGCAGCTAGAATTAAGATGCCAGAAATACTTCAATTTACATTTGCCTTTGATTGATTCTCTTTTAGCAATTGCCTTTGGGTTGCAACCTGCCCCATATTCAAAGTCATGCTTGAGGGCACTGTCTATCCATTGGATGGTTGTGGCATCAAATGAATCAATAAAGTGGGTTTGAAACGATTGTTAAGAAGGTTCCTTAGGTTCCTTCCAAGGGACACAGGTGGCGCTGTGATCTAAACCACCCAGCCTCTTGGACTTGCTGATCAGAAGGTTGGTGGTTTGAATCCCCACGACGGGGTGAGCTCTCGTCGCTCTGTCCCAGCTCCTGGTAACCGAGCAATTCAAAAGCACGCCAGTGCAAGTACAGTGGTACCTCGGGTTAAGAACTTAATTCGTTCTGGACGTCCGTTCTTAACCTGGAACTGTTCTTAACCTGAGGTACCACTTTAGCTAATGGGGCCTCCTGCTGCCACCGCGCCGCTGCCGTGCAATTTCTGTTCTCATCCTGAAGCAAAGTTCTTAACCCGAGGTACTATTTCTGCATTAGCAGAGTCTGTAACCTGAAGCATCTGTAACCCGAGGTACCACTGTAGATAAATAGGAACTGCTGTGGCGGGCAGTAAACGGCGTTTCCGTGCGCTCTGGTTTCTGTCACAGTGTTCCATTTCACCAAAAGCGGTTTAGTCATGTTGGCCACATGACCAGGAAAGCTGTCTGTGGACAAACGTCGGCTCCCTCGGCCTGAAAGCGAGATGAGCGCCGCAACCCCATAGTCGCCTTTGACTGGACTTAACTGTTCAGGAGTCCTTTACCTTTATCTTTTTTTAGCTTATAGCAACATTAGTCCTTTTTGTGGGAATTAGACTTTAGTTCCCATATACAGAGTCTGTAGAAGACAGTCCTGGGTTGTCTGATCCTTTCGTTCTCTTTTCCCTCCTTTAAAACTATACAAGACTCTCATTTAAAAGTTAAAGAACAAATAACTTTTGCTTAGTGTACTTCCAAATTAAATATGCAATGCAGGTGGATGTTTCTTAAGTTGCCAAAACATCTTACATAGATTAAGCTGTTACAGACTAACTAACATTTACAGACTGACTGATGCTCTGACTCTGAGGCAGCACAACACAACATACCTGCTGCTCTAACTGTTAAGGCTCACAAGATGTTAATAACTGAACCAACTGAAATAAGTGCCTTAGGCATATGACATCACAGGGTTCTACAGCGCTTTCAAACATTAACATATGAATTTTGGGTGCTAACACCCCACACTTTTGCCCTTGAGTCATTTTCAGGCTGTGTTCCACACAGCCTCAAGACACATTTCATTTAATGGCCTCCCTAGTGACTGGGGAGAAATTGCATGCACATTTAAAACTATCAAAATCTGCACTTTCCGAAACAATATGAGAACCGAAACACAACCAACCTTTGAAATTTGCACTTCCTTGAATTTTGCTGTGCTGTTTTCCATCCAAAATGTTTACAAAAATGATTAATGAATGTTAGAATGATGTTGGAATGAAGCTAGGTGGTTTAAGCAGTAATGTTATAAAGGTGTAGGTAAAAAAGGATTGATAACAGATGAAAATTTAAAGTTATAGTATATTAAGTTAAAGAATCATGAGAAAACAAAGAGGGAAAGAAATTGCTGACTTAACTAATTGAACTGGAATACAAAAAAGGGAGGTATGAGGAGGTCAGGGAAACAAGGATATGAATGTAAGTTATAGAAAGATTGATCCATTTTTATTTTTCTTTTTTTTCTTTTTAAGTGTCTTTTCTGTATTTTGTATTTTGTATTTTCTGGTATTTTTACTTTTTGTTTTTGTGTAATTCTTGTATTCTCTAAAATTTTAATAAATATCATTTAAAAACAACAACAAAATGTTTACAAAACTGCATATACTGGGAGAAGTGTGCATACAATTGAATATGCTAGTGAATATAACATACAAAAATGTATTATGTTGGGGAAAATCCCTTGCATAAATGTGTACATTGGTCAAAACTGCACACAGGAATGTGTTTATTGCGGCGCTAATCTCGCTTTACTGGCCAAGGGAGCCGCGTACAGCTTCCGGGTCATGTGGCCAGCATGACTAAGTTGCTTCTGGAGAACCAGAGCAGCACACAGAAACACCATTTACCTTCCCGCCAGAGCAGTACCTATTTATCTACTTGCACTCTGACGTGCTTTCGAACTGCTAGGTTGGCAAGAGCAGGGACCGAGCAATGGGAGCTCACCCCGTCGCGGGGATTCGAACTGCTGACCTTCTGATCAGCTAGCCCTAGGCTCTTTGCTTTAGACCACAGTGCCACCCGCATTCCTATGTTAAGGATAGTAGGAAATGATACATTGTGTAAGTATTACAGTGGTACCTCTGGTTACAGACGGTTCAGGTTACAGACGCTTCAGGTTACAGACTCCACTAACCCAGAAATAGTACCTCGGGTTAAGAACTTTGCTTCAGGATAAGAACAGAAATCACGCGGCGGCAGCAGTGGAAGGCCCCATTAGCTAAAGTGGTACCTCAGTTTAAGAACAGTTTCAGGTTAAGAATGGACCTCCAGAACGAATTAAGTTCTTAACCCGAGGTACCACTGTATCCTTCTTTCACGCACACTAGTAAGCCTTTTTAGACTTTACCGATTGGTGGGGTCTGCGTTGCTCCCGGGAGGGAGAAAGGAAGTCAACTGACACCAAGGTTGATTCGGAGAAAGAGTTTATTCTGCTCTCTGGATAGCAGAAGGCACCTGCGTGGTCAGTTCACAGCAAGTCCAAAGAAATGAGAAATTTCATGCAGTATATATATCCTCCAGGCACCCTCTCCCCCCTTCCCCAGGAATCCAACCACGTCAGCTTATACACGTAAGTTGACATCCATGACTGTCAGGGAACTGCCATCAGTGCCGGAGGGAGAGAGCAAAAGCCAGAGGGATTCCAGAGAGCGTCCAGGGATTGGGAGAAGCAGCCCATCTTCTGGGGAAGAGAATCAGCATAGCACCAGTGGAGAAGGGGGGCAGATGGGGGAAGCGGCGAGGCGGTCCCATGACTCCTTGCCTGGGACCAGCGGGGAGAGTAGGGGTCCTCCATTGCCCATGCCCTCCTTGCACAGAAGGCTTTCGCGCAGAGAGAGTAGGAGGAGACTAGGCGTCAAAGAGCTTCTTTGCTGGAAGACGTTTAAGAAACGCCCACTGATGGATTCTGCCAACGATTGAGTCAGCCACAGGTGAGTGGCTGTCCAGACAGAAAAGGTTCACTTAGGCAACCCAGCCAGGTGTTTGCACCCAGCCGGGGAGATAAGCACCGGCTTACGCACGAGCAACCCCTAGAACCATTACAATGACCATAAACAGATATTCCTGTTCCGGTACTCTTGACCATAAAAGGTTGTTCCTGTTCCTATACTCTTATCTTGGGGCAGGAGGTCACCAACTCTAAGAACACTCCTGGCGCCATTCCCAGGTCTCTTGTCAGACCTGGCAAGGTCTGTGCGTCTTTGTGGTCAGGATGTAAGATAAGACCCAGACGTGCCATCCCTGCTTCTCTTTGGAATGGACAAGGCCATTCATTAGGCATCACGGACTGATAAAGGAAAGAGCTTTGTTTATACAGCTGTGTGCTTGTTATGCATTTGCTCAAGAGCTCAAGTTAATGGTTTTTAGCTAATGCACCCTTGGAGAAGGAAAAATGGATTTTGGGGCCCGTTTCAGACTGATTTTAGATTTGGGAAACCCATTCCTTCAAGTGATGTAGCAAAGCAGATTCCTGCCAATATAGCTGGAAGCTAGTCTGCAGATTCGTTTGAATCTCTTAGTTTGAATCTCTTATTTCTGGGGTCCCCTTTGATCCCTCTTAAAAGAATAAAGACACAAGAGTCTTTCTGAGTAAAGCAGCAAAAAGTTTACTCACATGTCAGTTCACAATTTGATCACTGAAAGGCAGGCTTTACTTAGTAGTTGCACAACAAAGTGTGAGTTCATCTCATATGGAGACTGAACTCATGTGCTGCTGGCTGAGAGCCAGCAGACAGCAAAATTACATTTAGATACCAAAATGGCTGCAGGAGAGCAGCTTGGCAGCAAAAGACCAAGAAGCAAGTGAAGACAGAACTAGAGACTGAGAAAATGGCTGCATGACTTGGCTTTTTTATGGCATCAGCCAGAGCCACGCCCATCTCCCAGGAAGGAAGCTCCAGACCAGTGGAACAGGAAGTTACACTGACTGGATGTCCCCCTGCTTGTGCCCACTATAGGGAAACAAGGAATGTTGCATTTGACTGCACCAATGGATTACATCTCACAAAAATTACCGTATTTTTCGCCCTATAGGACGCACTTTTTCCCCTCCAAAAATGAAGGGGAAATCTGTGTGCGTCCTATGGGGCGAATACAGGCTTTCGCTGAAGCTTGGAGAGCAAGAGGGGTCAGTGCGCACCGACCCCTCTCACTCTCCAGGCTTCAGGAAGCTATCAGCAAGCCTGGGGAGCCCGCAGGACTTCCCGCAGGGCTCCCTAGGCTGCGGATAGCAGCCTGCCGCCCGGCGCACAGGGCGCCCTGAAGCAGAGCGCCCCGCGCCCCGGGCAGACATCGGCCAGCCCACAAGCTCGGGGGACAGCGGGGAGGCGCAGCGCCGCCATCCCGCTGTTCCCCGACCTGGTTTCGGGGGGGAAATAAAGGGGAAAAATTTTCCTTTATTTCCCCCCAAAAAAATTAGGTGCATCCTATGGGACGGAGCGTCCTATGGGACGAAAAATACGGTAATAACCAAGTGCGTGGATTGAGCCGCGGATAGCCTGAAAACATTGCTCAAAACAACTCAGCATAACAGCAAACTCAGCCCCTGACGTCTGAGAAACCTCAAGCAAATCCTTAATCATGCAAACATGGAGCTGAAATAGGAACTGCAATGGAAGGGATTTACTAATGCTCCAAAAAAACAAATTCATGAGCTGTTGCTTTGTTGAATTCTGGGTCTTGTTTACAGGTTTCCAGTATGTTTTCTTAAAAAAAAATCAAAAACATGCTATGGGTGGGAACTTGAGACATTTGGAATAAATCTGTTTAATTTTCTGCAGAAAGGCTGCAATGAGCTTGGTAGGAAGCATCAAGCATCAAGCAGAGCAGATGGTATTATCTACAAACACAATCGCTGCAAATAAAACACTGACGATAAAGGCCTCTCTTTCCTGTGAAAGATACAGCAATTGCCCCTAGCACTGACCTTGCCAGCAAAAAGCCAATCAAGGCAAATTTCATGTGACCATGAAACATAGCAAGCTGTATTATAACAAGACAGAAGTTAAAAACAAATAGATCCAAATGATCCCCAAATAGAAATAAAGTACTAATGCATATTAAAATGCATATCTGGATAGACTTGCCTAAAAAAAAATTTAGCAGACACCAAAGTGCCTGCCTAATGTCAATGGGGAGGTATTTCCAGAGTTCCAGGACTGCTAAACTAAAAGATCACCTTGGAGGGAAATATGGGAGAAACATACGTTGAAAACGTGCATAAGAATAAAAGAAAATTATTATAAATTAGTTTGGAGATGGTATTTAACACCAGTCAGATTAAATCAAATAAGCAAGGAATATTCAATGTTATGTTGGAGGGGATGCCAGGAAATAGGGAATTATGTTCAAGTGTGGTGGGGGTGTAAATATGTTCAAATTTTTTGGCACAGGGTATTTAAGGAGATTGACAGCTGCACAAATTATTATAGCTAGGAAGTGGAAGGGGCAAGCAGAATATAAATTGGAAGAATGGTATAAAGAGGTGTGGGATATAGCTATTAACGATAAATTAACATGTGCCATTAAGGTAAGACAGGGAATATGCAGGAGAAATGATTTTGAGGAGATATGGAGGGTGCTTGTACAATTTGTACTGTCCAAAACGGAAAGGGGTCAAACC